GACGAGGAGGACAAACCCCGCTCGGCATATAATAACTGCGACACAAGCCATTTTTGCGGACTGTTGCTAAGCCCGCAGAAGGTATCGCGACCAGCTGTGGTGAGGAGGTTTGCAGCTGGGGGAGGAGGGAGGAGGGAGGGAGGGAGGTAGGGAGGGAGGAGGGAGGGAGGGAGGTAGGGAGGGAGGAGGGAGGGAGGTAGGGAGGGAGAGGGAAGAGATTTGGTTGGGAGTTAGAGTATGGGGGGTGGAGGAGAGGTTGCAGCTAGGATAACTGTCTCTGAAACTTTGGTATTCAGGCCTCCTCATAACCGGTTGGTACCGGTATTTGGCCTCTCTCGGCGGATGCTGTGGATGCCCGGTTTACGTTTTTTTTCCCCAATTCAGGTCTAGTGAAGTCAAGACAGGTCAAACCCTCTCCAGTCGTGACAAGCAGAGTCAAGCCACTGCAAACTAAGTGGACCGAATTTACGTAAAGACAAGACTAATCGAGCCAAACCAAACCGCGTCGTATCACACAGATCAAATCAACTCGAATTGAACCACATCGAACCACGCCAAAAAGAAGAAAAAAGAAAGAAAGAAAGAAAGAAAGAAAGACGAACCAATCGCCCGCATGACGCATAACGAGAAGAAGAAAAAAAAAGCCCAGGCATTCGCAAAGGACATTAGTGCATTGCCCTTTTCTCTCTCCACCCCTCCTTTCCCGACGTCTTGCGGAGGAGTTCCCGCGGGACACGCACTCAAGGTCAGGCACGCCCCTCATTCAAGTCATCCTCGCTCGAAACATTCACAGTGGACAATACCAACAACAACAACAACAAAAAGAGCAGCAACGACACTCGACAAAGAACTTTATTATCTCACATCTTCATCCTCCCCCCTTCCCCCTCCCTCCCTCCCTCCCTCCCTCCCCTTTCCCTCCTCTAACCTTTATATGACACCTCTGAAAACAAAAAGATCTTCAAAATACCCTTCGTAGAAAAAGATCTGGAGGAATGGGAGTAGAAAGAGGAAGAGAGGAAAGGTGAGAGAAGAGAATGGGGAAGAAAGGGAAGGAGAGAGAAAGAAAGAGAAGAATAAAAAGCGGAATAGGAAAGGAAGACAAATATACAAATTTGTTTCCGATGAATGCCAAAAAATGAAAGAGGAGAGAAGAGAAGAGAAGAGAATGACGAGGAGGAGGAGGAGGAGGAGGAGGAGGAGGAGGAGGAGGAGGAGGAGGAGGAGGAGGAGAGGAAGAGGAGAAGAAAGACGAGGAAGAGGAGGAAGGGGGGGGAGAGGGGAGGGAACGTGAAAACTAATAACGACTATGCAATCAAAACTTGTTCCTCTGACCTCTGCCGACACGTGCAAGACGGAGACGGAGGGAGATGAGGAGGAGATGGGGGGGCGAGGGGGGGTGAGGGAGAAGACTGGAGGAAACTGACCAAGAAAGTGAGGGTGGGGATCGAAAGAGACGAATGGGAGGGGGGGGGAGGATTTAGAAATTTTCAAAAAATGGGGCAGAAGGGGAGTAGGAGACAAGGGAGGCTACGGATCGGGAGAACAGTGGAAACAGAGGAAGCGGGAGGAAAGAGGAGAGGGAAGAGGGGAGAGAGGAGAAGGGAGAGGGAGAGGAAAGAGGAGAGGGGAAGAGGAGAAGGGAGAGGGGCAGGGGGAGGAAAGAGGAGAGAGGAGAGGGGAGAGGGGAGAGGGGGGAGGGGGAGGTGCCGTAACATCTGAGAGAAAACAGCAACACGACCTGGGTGTCCGGTTTAATTACCTGGATATTTATAAACATGTTCCCCGAGCCCCCCCACCCCCCGAGACAGTGCATCGTGTAAGGGACAAAAAGACCGTGAAAATGAATGAGAAAGAGCTAAAGTGAGAGAGAAACAAGGGAAGCCGAAGAGAAGAAAATGAGGGATGAGATGTGAGGAGAAAAAGAAAAAAAGAAAGAAAGAAAGAAAGGAACAAAGAAAGAAAGAGAAAGAGAGATAGAAGAGAGATGATAGAAGAGATAATACAGAAGAAAGAAGAGAGAAAGAGAACGAAACCGAGAACCAACCAAACAAACAAACAGACAGACCAACAGCCTAGACCAAGAGAGGGGAGAGAGGGGAGGGGGGGAGACGAGAGCAGGGATGCCATTGCAGCTGCAGTCACGTGGCGCGGCGCAACCTACCCCCGGACGGAGGACGTGCCATCGCCGGACTGTCGCGTCGGCCTCACGGGGTCATTCATCAATTCATTCGAACCGTACCTTCTCTTTTCCCGTGCTTATTTGTGAGATTTAGTTGCCCTGCCCTATTTTCCTGCCCTTGGTTTACGTCTTATCTTCCAAGAGTTTAAATATTTATTAACAAGGCTTATTTGAGTGACTCAGCTGCATAAACGCGCATGCTTTTTATCCTGGCATCATAAATATGACCCCAACCTTGAAGCAAATACGTATTAAAATCCGGAGACATGAACATAATGCGAGACCAGCACGCATGCTTGCTTCTATAAATGCAAACAAGACATACTACACTTCAAAAGCACAAATATGCACATATGCTCGCGCACGCACACACACACACACACACACACACACACACACACACACACGCACACACGCACACACAAACACACATACATACACACACACACACAAGTAAATACACAAACAAATACACATACAAGTTCACAGACCCAACCAGTATCGTAAGATTATCCACTCCTATGTAACAAAATCGGTCCAAGCAACATGTGCGCTGACGAAGTCGGACGGGAGACGCGAAATGCGGATATGCGTCCGTAGAGTTTTGACCGCTGACTGTTAAAACTAGTACTGGTCTTTTACACTAATTACCTCTTATATAACGACTCATTACTTAACCCGACGTGCACTCTGCTACACATTCCCTGTCGCGCCGGCAATTCCTTGCTCACGCGTTCGTTCAGAGTGAAGTTGGAAGTTTAAGAAATGCATGACAATGTCGCCATCTCGTGTAATTAAGCTAAACGAGGGAGCGTGTAAGGGACGGAGGGAGGGAGGGAGGGTGGGAGGGGAAGAGGAAATGAAGGAGAGAAAGAGAAAATGAGAGGAAGGGAGAGAGAAAAAAAAGAGGAAGGGAAGGGGAAGAAAAAAAAAAGGAGAAAGGGAAAAAAAAAAACTCTTAATAAATACAAAACCTCTTTTCCATCTACCTCTCCTCAACCCATCGAAGAACTTCTCTACCAATACCTGCCCCCACCCCCATTCTCTACCCCTCCCTCCTCCCTCCCCCCCTAAAGCTATCCCCCTTTAAGAAAATCATTATTTAGGCCTCCGCACACCAGCCGAAGTGTGGTTCTGGCTATTGTCTGCTTTTATGAAGCAAGCAAAATATGGAGTGGAATGGGAACGAACAGAATGTGGTTTGTTTCTTTATCACTGGTGAGGAAAACCAGAAGAAAAAGAAGAAGTAGTAGTAGTTAGAAGAAGAAGAAGAAGAAGAAGAAGAAGACGAGGAGGAAGAGGAGGAAGAGGAGGAAGAGGAGGAAGAGAGGGGAGAGGAAGGGGAAGAGCCGATTAAAACAAAAGCAGAAGAAAAAAGGGACATCTGGATAAAGGGAAGAAGAGGGGAAGAGGGCGATAGAGGAGAGAGATGGGGAAGAGGAAGGGGAAGAAGAGGGGAAGAGGGCGATAAAGAGAGATGGGGAAGGGGAAGGGGAAGGCAAGGGGGGAGGGGGAGTGGGAAGGGCAAGGTAGGGACAAGGAAAGGTAAAAGAAATATGAGAATAAGATCCAGTTCTGAAGGTGTCCAGTTACACTTCATTCGCATACAAAATAATCCGAGCCACCTAAAAAAAAAAAAAAAAAAACTCTTAATAAATACAAAACCTCTTTTCCATCTACCTCTCCTCAACCCATCGAAGAACTTCCCTACCAATACCTGCCCCCACCCCCATTCTCTACCCCTCCCTCCCCCCCTAAAGCTATCCCCCTTTAAGAAAATCATTATTTAGGCCTCCGCACACCAGCCGAAGTGTGGTTCTGGCTATTGTCTGCTTTTATGAAGCAAGCAAAATATGGAGTGGAATGGGAACGAACAGAATGTGGTTTGTTTCTTTATCACTGGTGAGGAAAACCAGAAGAAAAAGAAGATAGTAGTAGTAGTTAGAAGAAGAAGAAGAAGAAGACGAGGAGGAAGAGGAGGAAGAGAGGGGAGAGGAAGGGGAAGAAGAGGGGAAGAGGGCGATAGAGGAGAAAGATGGGGAAGAGGAAGGGGAAGGCAAGGGGGGAGGGGGAGTGGGAAGGGCAAGGTAGGGACAAGGAAAGGTAAAAGAAATATGAGAATAAGATCCAGTTCTGAAGGTGTCCAGTTACACTTCATTCGCATACAAAATAATCCGAGCCACCTAAAAAAAAAAAAAAAAAACTCTTAATAAATACAAAACCTCTTTTCCATCTACCTCTCCTCAACCCATCGAAGAACTTCCCTACCAATACCTGCCCCCACCCCCATTCTCTACCCCTCCCTCCCCCCC